TTAGTTTATTTAAGTTTTATGTTCTTAATTTCATAAAGAAATATTTAAAAAAAATTTTCAATCTTCCCTAGTATGAGAACATGACATTTGTTATCTATGTTTCCCTTCTTCTCTAATTTTTTACCACCCCTTCGAGAAGTGCAAAATTTAACTTTAATTACTCATTATAATGTTTTCATCATTCAGGCAAAGTATAATTTACATAATTTTCAATCTTATCTAGTTACAGAGCAATAAAATAGAAAATAAAACCCCTCTTGTCACACCCATCTGTCACATCCTCTCTTTCAGAACTTACCAAGAGTTCTCTCTGACATTTAGGACTATAATATTTATACCCAATAGAAATCCAAAGTTTTTCTCTATCAAATGATGTATTATATCATTTTGTATACATAAAATTGTCCATTTTCCTTCCAGTTCAAACTTTATACCCATGGGAAACCCATCAATGAGCTTAGCTGAATTTTTAACAGCTTTTGCCACACAGTTAGAAAGCCAGAAAAATTGTCATAGTTATGAAACATTGTTTCCTTTTTCCATGTTATTATTCTGTGTTCTTTGTGCATTATTAAATTAAATAGAAATTATTTAAAGCAGTAGTACAACTAGTATAAAAAAGTAAGGTTACATTTCATCAAGAGTCGAGTGCAAAAACAGAAAAGACCCAGGTAAGTACTATATTTCATGATTTTCAAGTAAAAATTGAAAACGTTTTGGTTTGCTAAAGTCAAATAAATAATAACATTAATAATAATAATTCTGGGAAGTACACTCATGAGTAGTCCATACATTACATGATTCCATACTGTAATGTGAGCTGCATATTCTCCACATGATTTGCTATTTATATGGCATGAATTATAGTTACACAGGGTTCAAAGGGCAATAACACAATAAAATGTAAGTATTAATAGATGTATACAGTTGCAAGCTTTAAGCTACTTAGTATAAACAATTGTAGTTTTTTGTTACAATTTGCAGTCACTCCAGAAAAAATAGGAGAAATTTATAACTATTACCTAATTTTTTCTGGTGGATATGAAGCTGGTCAAATCAACCGACCTCATATAGAGTTACGGTAAAGAAAATAACAAATAAATTATACTTTTTCTGAAAAAAATAAAATAAAAAAATATTTGATATTTATTTTGGGGTTTTAGGGGTTATGCAAATGATATTTGAAATTTTTTAGATTAAGAAAAGTATATTTCATTTTATCATGAAAATTACTTTGCACTCATAAAGGGAAACAACATGCAGTGTGAATTGTAAATAGATGTTTTTCATTAAGCACTAACATGCCCTTTTCCACATGCAGAAGGTAAACATGTAGTGTACATTGTAAATAAAGTTTTCCATTAAGAACTAACATGCCCTTTTCCATTCGCAGAAGGTAAACATGTAGTGTACATTGTAAATAAAGTTTTCCATTAAGAACTAACATGCCCTTTTCCACATGCAGAAAGTAAACATGTAGTGTACATTGTAAATAGTTTTTCATTGAACATTAACAAGCCCTTTTCCATTTGCAGAAGGTAAACATGTAGTGTACATTGTAAATAAAGTTTTTCATTGAACATTAACATGCCCTTTTCCATTCGCAGAAGGTAAACATGTAGTGTACATTGTAAATAAAGTTTTTCATTAACACTGAAGTGATTTTTTGTACTTTTTCTGAGCTTATTAAATTCTACTTATGGGACACTTGAAAATTTCACTGGGACTCTTGAAAAAAAGGTTGAAAGTCCAGGACCCTTGACTGTGGGATCCTAGTGAGAACCCTGCATATAAATACAAATTCTTGATTTAATCCTTATGCCCCAAAACATAGGATGGGTTCCTCAAAGTTTGAAACATTTATTCTTAACAGTTTTTATTTTCATATCAATTGCATTACTAGAGATAAAGATAAAAGCTTTGAAATTGCTGGATTATAACATGACTAAGCTAATCACAAAAATGTGTTGAAACTAGTTTCTTCAATATCAAGACTTCTGATTGTTTGTTCCATTTACTGCATTTTTTTGTTCTCTAATTACTACACACAATACTGTTGTTTTATGACTACTACACCTACTATCATACTGATGCATGCATGAGATCACTTGGCTTCATAAGTAGCATTATTATGACAGGTTGAAAATTAAAGTTTCCTAAAGTAATATTACAACTTTTTCTTTGATCTGAACTATCTTGCTTCAGTGTAACATAACAGATAAACAAGGTAGTTACTTAACAGAGCAGAAATATTCTTATCTTGTGATTTTTTTATAAAATTAGAAATTAAAAAGATTTGATTCTGTATGTTTCACCTTTGTTTTTTGAATTGAAAATTGCTAATCATGAATACATCAGAATGGCAAACATGTGATGAAAGTATTTTGCACTACCTTTCAAACTACAAACATATATATATGTAATAAATTATGGAAAAATCAGAGTGCCATACGAGGTTCTAACCAGGATTTTTCCAAAGCCTGGCATTTGAAAAACAAATTGTAAATTATGATGAATATTGTAAAAAAAATGAAAAAATCACTGATAGCTGTTGATTTTTTTCCTGTGATAAGAAAAAGTTAAAAATATCAAATTTTACAAAATAAGTTGGTATAATTATACCTTTTATGTTGTTTAACTTTAAATTTAGGTTACTTGAAGAATATCAAAAAAGGACTGTATGAGGTTTTTAGCTTCAATAAGAATTAATTTACCTAATAAATCAAATGAGTTATGATTGTTCATTTCCCTTGGTTGGTTACAAAGCATTGGAGTTAATGTATCTTTATAGATACAACACTGAAAGCTCCAACATTGTTATGAACATGCTTATAAACATGTAAAATAATACTGAACTGTCTGGAATAACAAGTCTGTAAAAGTGTACACAGTGTTGTTGTACTGGGTGACTAACAAGTAAATAAATCTTTTCTTGTTTCTGAATTTAAACAATGCAGTTTATATAAGTTTAAGATTACATAAATAACACAACTCTAAATCATTATGCCTAAAGTCCGAAAACAAGGATTTCTCAACCTTTTCAAATTTTCACCACTTCGTACCATTTTTTTGAGGCACAAATTTTAAGATTAATCTATACGTCAATTCTAACTACATTTCAACAATATTAACTCATAAATATTTTAGAATGGATATTTTGTCATTTCCTTACATTTATTTAATACAATTCATGAAGAAGAAAAGTTCATATTTTCATGTCTGTACATCTGTAAAGAGTTTGGTCTTTAACAAAAAAAAAATTCCACTAGTCTATTGTTTTTAGAGAATTTCTGCCTATTCCAAGGGATAACTATTCCTGCTAGGAACCCATCACCACTTGAGAATATATTATCCATTTCTTGGCCTTTTAATATTTCCCTCAGTTGTTGTACAGGCCTTGGTTTGAAACCTTGTTATGGTAACACATCAAATGATTTAATCATTTACTAATGAAACACAAATTTTAATACAACTATAAAATTTAAATATGATTGGATAAATCAAGAATTAAACTATCACATCATGGAAGAGAAAATGTATATGTTTAACTTTAAGAGATTGTTTTTTAGTCTCTATAAACATTCCAGTGCTACAATAGCATGCGGTCTACAAAGATATTTAAACTATAGTGTGTGGTCTACACAGATACTATCATCATCACCATTTTAACTTTCATTTATTTGAAATTGGCACCATTTATTGTAAATAACACTTTTATAATAAATGATGCCAATTACAAATAAAGTATAAAATACCATTACATAACATTTTGGGGTCAAATATAATTGGAATGAAATAAATTCCAACAATCAAGACTAGCACAGTTATAACCCAAATTTAAGGTGCTCTTTTGGAACACACAACTTATTAAATTATTATTATTTGCAGAAAAAAAATGTATATATGTAAATTATTTAGCAAGCAATTATGTTTTAGTGAATCATTAAAATGGTGATGATAATAGCATCTGTGTAGACCACAAGTTATAGTAGCACCAACATTCCTTTCAGTTACAGTTACTTTTCATTTGAGAATTATGCATTTGTGCATTAAATTATATCTCTTTAAAAGCTACAGAAATTTTCTTCAATGAAAATACGTCAGGTAATGTTAGGTAAGGTAAGCTTATAAAGTTTACAGAAACTGAAAGGTTAATATGTAACAAAAAAACCTTTACTACAAGCTTAACACATGTACAATGTTTGGAGAAGGTTTTTATCAACCTGTACAAGTAGTTTACCTAAACACAAGATTATATATATATATATATATATATATATATATATATATATATAGTAGTACTAAGAAAGAAGTAACGTACACGTAGTAGGTAGTATTAGTTCGAGTATAATAACTATATTAGT